CCTTTGCATATTTGATGTGGCACTCTCGCACGTTCTATTGTTGTATGCTCTGTGTCTATTATTCATTCGTGCTCTCCGCGATTGCAGACATTTGCCTCACTTGGTCTTTCTGCTATGCTCCCGTCTTTGTCCTCAACAGCGGTTGCACTTTCGCTGGCGTTAGTGTGGTCTATTTTCATCCTGTTGCTCCCCTGCGGCATCCCCGCGCCGCACGGCGGTTTGTCCGGGGTCCACGCGTATGATTGGTGTGGGTGGGGTGGGGGTCTGTTCTATAGCATGGCATATCACAGCATGGGCTCCCAAAAAGTGCGGACCCCTATGTGCGCGTTGCCTTTTACTTGTACTTGCCCTAGGCTTGTCCCGCCACTGTGCTATAGCATGGCATAGCACAGCATGGGTCCCCAAAAAGTGGGGACCCCTATGTGCGCGTTGCCTTTTACTTCTGCTTGCCCTATGCCTATCCCGCCACTGTGCTATAGCATGGCATAGCACAGCATGGGTCCCCAAAAAGTGCGGACCCTTATGTGCGCGTTGCCTTTTACTACTACTTGCCCTAGGCCTATCCCGCCACTGTGCTACAGCATGCCATGGCACAGCATGGGTCCCCCAAAAGTGGGGACCCTTATGTGCGCGTTGCCTTTTACTCCTACTTGCCCTGGGCGCACAGCATGGGTCCCCCAAAAGTGAGGACCCCTATGTGCGCGTTGTCATTTACTTTTACTTGCCCTATGCCTATCCCGCCACTGTGCTATAGCATGGCATGGCACAGCATGGGTCCCCCAAAAGTGGGGACCCCAACGTGCGCGTTGCCTTTGATTCCTATTGCCTTAGGCCTATCCCGCCACTGTGCTATAGCATGGCATAGCACAGCATGGGTCCCCACCATGTGGGGACCTCTACGTGCGCGTTGCTTTTTACTCGTACTTGCCCTAGGCTTATCCCGCCACTGTGCTATAGCATGGCATAGCATAGAATGTGCCCTCAACAAGTGGGGACCTCTATGTGCGCGCTGCCTTTTACTATTTGCCCTAGGCTTATCCCGCCACTGTGCTATAGCATGGCATAGCACAGCATGGGTCCCCAAAAAGTGGGGACCCCTATGTGCGCGTTGCCTTTTACTTGTGCTTGCCTTATGCCTATCCCGCCACTGTGCTATAGCATGGCATAGCACAGCATGGGTCCCCCAAAAGTGGGGACCCCTATGTGTGCGTTGCCTTTTTACTACTACTTGCCCTAGGCCTATCCCGCCACTGTGCTACAGCATGCCATGGCGCAGCATGGGCCCCCCCAAAAGTGGGGACCCTTATGTGCGCGTTGCCTTTTACTCCTACTTGCCCTGGGCGCACAGCATGGGTCCCCAAAAAGTGGGGACCCCTATGTGCGCGTTGCCTTTTACTTTTACTTGCCCTATGCCTACCCCGCCACTGTGCTATAGCATGGCATGGCACAGCATGGGTCCCCCCAAAGTGGGGACCCCAATGTGCGTGTTGCCTTTTACTCCTATTGCCTTAGGCCTATCCCGCCACTGTGCTATAGCATGGCATAGCACAGCATGGGTCCCCAAAATGTGGGGACCTCTACGCGCGCGTTGCCTTTTACTCGTACTTGCCCTAGGCTTATCCCGCCACTGTGCTATAGCATGGCGTAGCACAGCATGTGCCCTCAACAAGTGGGGACCCCTATGTGCGCGTTGTCTTTTACTATTTGCCCTATGCCTATCCCGCCACTGTGTTATAGCATGGCATAGCACAACATGGGTCCCCCAAAAGTGGGGACCCCTATGTGCGCGTAGCCCTTCACTGTTAGTTGCCCTAGGCCTATCCCGCCACTGTGCTACAGCATGGCATAGCACAGCATGCGTCTCCAACGTAGGGGACACCTATGTGCGCGTTGTCTTTTGCTGTTACCTGCCCTAGGCCTATCCCGCCACTGCGACATAGCATGGCATAGCACCGCATGGGTCCCCCAAAAGTGGGGACCCCTATGTGTTGTCTTGTACTGATACTTGCCCTAGGCCTATCCCGCCACTGTGCTATAGCATGGCATAGCACATCACGGGTCCCCCCAAAGTGGGGACCCCTATGTGCGCGTTCTTTTTCTTACTGTTACTTGCCTTATGCCTACCCCGCCACTGTGCTATAGCATGGCATAGCACAACATGGGTCCCCAAAAAGTGTAGACCCCTATGCGCGGGTCGTCTTTTCCACATACTTGCCCTCGGCCTATCCCGCCACTGTGCTATAGCATGGCATAGCACAGCATGGGTCCCCAAAACGTGGGGACCCCTATGTGTGCGTTGCCTTTTACTCCTACTAGCCCTGCCTATCCCGCCACTGTGCTATAGGATGGCATAGCACAGCATGGGTCCCCAAAAAGTGGGGACCCCTATGTGCGCGTTGCCTTTTACTCCTACTTGCCCTATGCCTATCCCGCCACTGTGCTATAGCATGGCATAGCACAGCAGGGGTCTCCAAAAAATGAGGACCCCTATGTGCGCTTGCTCCTACTTGCCTTAGACCTATCCCGCCACTGTGCTATAGCATGGCATAGCACAGCATGGGTCCCCAAAACGTGGGGACCCCTATGTGCGCGTTGCCTTTTACCCTGCCCTAGGCCTGTCCCGCCACTGTGCTACAGCATGGCATAGCACAGCATGGGTCCCCAGAAAGTGGGGGCCCCTATGCGCGCGTTGCCTTTTACTTCTACTTGCCCTATTCCCGTCGCATGGCATAGCACAGAATGTGCACCCAAAAAGTGGGGACCCCTATGTGCGCGTTTCCTTTTACTGTTAGTTGCCCTGGGCCTGTCCCGCCACTGTGCTATTGCTTTTGTGTTAATGCATTTGCGCAACTTTCCTTTGTCGCAAGAGTTGGCGCCTCTGTGTGGGTGTGCTGCTGCGCAGGGCTATCATGTCTGTTCGGGTGCGTCTCCTCGCCTGCTCATCTCTATGCCTATGCGTCTGCAGTTGGTTCTATAGAGCATCACCTTGCATATTTGATGTGGTACCCTCTCACGTTCTATTGTGGTATGTGTGTATTACTCATTCGTGCTATCCGCGATTGCAGACATGTGCCACACTTGGTCTCTCTGCTATGCTCCCGTCTTTGTCCTCAACAGTGGTTGCACTTTCGCTGGCGTCACTGCGCTGTATTCTCCTCCCTGCTGCTCCCTTGCGGCATTCCCCGCGCCGCGCGGCGGCCTGTCCGGGGTCCACGCGTAGGAATGGATAAGATACTCGGGCTCTATACTGTTCTGGTGTGCGTGGTTGTGGGGCTTCACCGTGCTATAGCATGGCATAGCACAGCATGGGTCCCCAAAGAGTGGGGGCCCCTATGTGCGCGTCGTCTTGTACTGTTACTTGCCCTAGGTCTATCCCGCCACTGTGCTTCAGCATGGCATAGCACAGCATGGGTCCCCAAAAAGTGGGGACCTCTATGTGCGCGTGGTCTCTTATTGTTACTTGCCCTATGCCTTTCTCGCCACTGTGCTATACCATGTCATAGCACGGCATGGGTCCCCAAACAGTGGGGACCCCTATGTGCGCGTCGTCTTTCACTGTCACTTGCCCTAGGCCTATCCCGCCACTGTGCTATAGCATGGCATAGCACAGCATGGGTCCCCCAAAAATGGAGACCCCTATGTGCGCGTCGTCCTTTACTGTTACTTGCCTTCGGCCTATCCCGCCACTATGCTATAGCATGGCATAGCAAGGCATGGGTATCCAAAAAGTGGGGACCCCTATGTGCGCGCCGTCTTTTACTGTTACTTGTCTCAGGCCTATCTCGCGACTTTGCTACGGCTGTCATAGCACAGCATGGGTCCCCCAAAAATGGGGACCTCTATGTGCGCGTCGTCCTTTCCTGTTACTTGCCCTGGGCCTATCCCGCCACTGTGCTATAGCATGGCATAGCACAGCATGGGCTCCAAAAAGTGGGGACCCCTATGTTCTTTTTTCACTGTTACTTACCCTGGGCCTATCCCGCCACTGTGTTATAGCATGGCATATATATATGTATATATATATATATATATATATATTATTATATATATATATTCATGGGTCCCCAAAAAGTCGGGACCCCTATGTGCGCGTTCGTTTACTTTTACTTGGCCCTAGGCCTATCCCGCCACTGTGCTTCAGCATGGCATAGCACAGCATGGGTCCCCCCAAAGTGGGGACCCCTATGTGCGCGTCGTCTTTTACTGTTACTTGCCCTGGGCCTATCCCGCCAGTGTTCTGCATTGCATAGCACAGCATGGGTCCTCAAAAAGTGGGGACCCCTATGTGCGCGTCGTCTTTTACTGTTACTTGCCCTATGCCTATCCCGCCACTGTGCTCTTGCATTGCATAGCACATCATGGGTCTCCAAAAAGTGGGGATCCCTATGTGCGCGTCGTCTTTTATTGTTAAGCGTCCGCGGCGCATCTCTACGTTCTGTGCTATTGTTCATTCACGATCAAGACGTGGGGATGATTCATCTCTGGTTTCTGTGCTATTGCATCACATCAGCAGTCTTTCCTCTGAAATTGGGGACTTTTCTTTATGATGTGTGCTATTGGAATACTTGGCCATCCCCCAGAAAGTTGGGGTCCGCATTCCACGTGTTGTGTTATTTCAGCACAGCTGCACGTCACACACAGTGGACGGTCATCTCTGTGTGTTATTCTCTTAGCATCCAGACAGAGTGTGCTTGTCATTCCTGCTAGCATATTCCATCTGCCGCAAATTGAGCATCCACGCAGGCAGCGCGCCCGTGCCCTCGCGCCAGCTGCCAGGTGGAGCGTTGCCTCTCCAGCCGCTCCGCCATGTCTGGTCGCAAGCGCCCCGCGGCGGCGCTCCCTCCTCCTCCTGCTCCTCCTCCTCCTCCTGCTCCTCCTCCTCCTCCTCCTGCTCCTCCTCCTGTGTGGGCGACGTGCGCGATCACGCGGACCTGGTCTGGGACATCATGAAGGAATTTCCGGAGTGGTGCTATAGGCGTGTCGGCGCCCGGCTTGGCGAGCTCCCGGGCTTGAGGCTGGAGGACTCTGACTGCCAGGCGGTGCTGCGGCTGCAGAAGGCCGAGACCGCTGCTCCTGGCGCGGAGCGCGAGGCTTCTGAGCTCTTCTCCGGGGACGTGCGGGAGCACGTGGACTCTATCGAGGAGCTCGTGGCCTCGCATCCGGAGTTGGGGTACAAGGCCATTGGCCGCAAGCTGGCTGAGAAGCTCAGGGTGAAGCTATCCGGCGCCCACTTGCAGGTCCTCAGACGCATTATGACCGAGCTCTCCGAGGGCCGCGCGGCGGTGGACGTGCCAGAGTGGGAGGACTGCAACGGGGACATGCGGGACCACGTTGACGCTATCAGAGCACTCGTGGTGGTTCATCCTGGCATGGGCTACAAGGGCATTGCCCATGAGCTCCAGCGGCATCTCCGGGTGAAGCTATCGCAGGCCCACCTCAGTGTCATCCGTCGCATCGTGGCGGGGATCTCGGAGGGCCGTGCAGTAGCCGGCGCGCAGCGGGAGGGCGAGGACTATGGGGCCTTCGCTGTGGACGTGCGCGACCACGTGGTCACCATCAAGGAGCTCATGATGCGTCACCCCACCATGGACTATGAGGGCATCGCCCACGAGCTTGAGGAGAAGCTTCAGGTGGAGCTATCTGATGCCCAGAAGCGGGGAATCCTTCGTGTCATGGCCGAGATCGGCATCGAGCTTGTGGCTGAGGATGTGGCGATGCCAGAGCAGACGGACCTCGAGGACTTCACCGGGGATGTGCGGGAGCACACTCTATCAAGGAGCTCTTGGCCTCGCACCCCGAGTTGGGGTACAGGGTCATTGCCCGCAAGCTGGCGGAGAAGCTCGGGGTGAAGCTATCGCCCGCGCACCAGCTGGTCATTAAGCGCATCAAGACGGAGCTCTCCGAGGGCCGCGCGGCGGTGGACGTGCCAGAGTGGGAGGAGTTCAACGGGGGCATGCGGGACCACGTTGACGCTATCAGAGCACTCGTGGTGGTTCATCCTGGCACGGGCTACAAGGGCATTGCCCATGAGCTCCAGCGGCATCTCCGGGTGAAGCTATCGCAGGCCCACCTCAGTGTCATCAATCGCATCGTGGCGGGGATCTCGGAGGGCCGTGCAGTAGCCGGCGCGCAGCGGGAGGGCGAGGACTATGGGGCCTTCGCTGTGCACGTGCGCGACCACGTGGCCACCATCAAGGAGCTCATGATGCGTCACCCCACCATGGACTATGAGGGCATCGCCCACGAGCTTGAGGAGAAGCTTCAGGTGGAACGATCTGATGCCCAGAAGCGGGGAATCCTTCGTGTCATGGCCGAAATCGGCATCGAGCTTGTGGCTGAGGATGGGGCGATGCCAGAGCAGACGGATCTCGAGGACTTCACCGGGGATGTGCGGGAGCACGTGGACTCCATCAAGGAGCTCGTCGCTCTGCATCCCGGGTTGGGCTACAGGTTCATTGGCCGCAAGCTGGAAGAGAAGCTCCAGGTTAGCCTATCGCAAGCGCACCTTCAGGTCATCCTCCGCATCATGACCGAGATTTCGGAGGGCCGTCTGGCGGTGGGCGTGTCTATGCGACAGCAGCCTGAGCGGCGGCACTTTTGCGACTTCACCGGGGACCTGCGGCAGCACGTGGACATTATCAAGGAGCTCATGACGCTGCATCCTACTAAAGGTCGGCATCACATTGCTGGCGAGTTGGAGATTCGGCTCCAGAAGAAGCTAACCGATGCCCACTTGTCCATAATCCGGCGCATCATGATTCGCCACGGTGTTCTGTCCTATGAGTTCCTGTCGGGCGCTGACCAGGTGGCCGTGGTGCAGGGACTAGTCCAGGGCCATGCGGAGCCTGCGGCGCGGCGGCAGGCCGTGCAGGAGCACTATGAACGGGGTGTCTCTCTTGCGGTGCTGGGACGCTGGATGTCTGAGCACTATGCGCCCGATCGCGGCGGCTGCCCTGTGCGGCGAGTGTGGCAGGACGGGGGGGGCGCTTCAAATCCGATGTTCACCACTGGGGGCCCGCAGGGTTTTCTATCATTATTTCGTGCCTGTCGGTATGTTGCTATGTGCACTTTGGACTTGGCCGATCTCTGATCTGTCCAGTGTGCCATGGGTTCGATTCTTGCTTCTGGGATCTATTCAGTCGGCTTCCAAGGGTCTTGCATTGTTACCACGCACCCATGCCTGTGTGGGGCCCGACTCTATCTCGCACTCCCAGTAGGATGTTTTGTCCTGGCTGGTCCGTCTGGGCCTATTCGTTTATTATTGCGCAGCCTCAGGACAAATACGTCGACTGCGCTCGCACCTACCGGGCTCGCCGCGCGGGTGCTAAGACTGATGAGGACGCCGCCCTGCAGGCTATCATCAAGTCCGTTCACGGCGAGGCGGTGCCGGTCTGGATGCTGCAGGAGGCGCTCCACAGGGCAGCCACTATCCGTTACTGGGAGGCGGAGCGTCGCTTGGAGTTCACGGCTGTCTGCCATGGCACACTGCCGCGCCGCACTGCGCTTCCGTCTGGGGCACGAGGTGCCGTGGAGCTTCAGCACTATCGCTTCTTCATCCGCTACGAGAGCTGGGTCGCTTGCGAGCTGTGCGGCTATCGTTGGCAGGTTCTCAAAGGTCAGCAGTCGGGTTCGACGTATGTCTATGGCAACACTGTCCGCGGCGACTGCGTTCACCATCTTCCTCGATGCCGATCTTGTGACCATCGCGGAAAGCTTTCGCAGTGCTCCTTGCCGTTGGAGGCGCTCCTGTGGCCGCTGCCCTCGGAGATCGAGGCGGGCGTCAAGACCGAGCAGCTGTATGTCGTGCCGCAGCGGAAGCACTGGCCCGTCTATCTTCCGGCAGCGCAGCGGTTCGTTACTGCCTATGACTTCAGCACCCGTCTGGCGTCCATGCGCGACGCCATGCGCCACGGCCCTGTTGATGCATGGACGTGGAGGAATTGGCGGTCTTGGTGCGGGAGTTTGCTGACTATGAGCAGTACGTTCGCGAGCATGGCGCTGAGGGGATAGTCAGCCTCCTGGACATCACGAAGGAAGAGGCTGCCTCTATCACGCCCTACCTGCTCGTCGTCACCAAGCAGAAGGAGCGCGGCTCCGTGGCCAGGGGCCCCACCTACAACTGGAAGAAGACCCAGGTGTGCCGCGTCAACTACAAGCGCGAGGACCTGGAGACGTGTGGGGCCATGACTCCCAGGGCGCGGGCTGCCTACGACTGGCTCATGGTGCACAATCGCACCTATCGTCGGTACGCGATGCAGCAGAAGCGCATGCTGTCCTACCCGGAGGATGAGCGGGAGATGTTCATCGCGACCTACCGGCTGCTCCTCCAGAGCCAGGGCATCGAGGTTGCGCTCTTCCCCGTGCTCTATCCCTGGGAGGTCTATTCCGACAGCGACGTGCGGGGCTGGGCCGGGGACCGCAAGCTGATGAAGAGGTCTCAGCTCCCGTCTATGCAGAAGGCGTTCCTGCGCAAGGTGCATTCTCGGTGCCGCACCTATGGCGACGCGGAGGCTGTGCCTGATCTGGCCTTCCTGCTATACGACATGGCCACCGCGCAGAAGATCTCGGCGAGCCTGGCTGTCGCGGAGCACCGGGGCATCACTCCCGATGTCGTCGCGGACAACAGCTCCACGTCCGAGAGCTATTGGCGCCACGAGCAGGACCTTCTGTGCGACGTCGTGCAGCAGCACACGCTTCGCTATAGTCGGGGCTTTGCCTTTCCCAACCTGTTCATCACCATCGCTCCGGCTGAATGGAAGGTTCTACTACACCAGCCTCTATTCGCGGACTGGAAGGCCGCGAATCGTCTGTCTGCGTGCCAGGGCATGTTGTCCGAGCACATCTATGAGCTGCTGTGCGATGCTATGAAGCAGATTCTACGTCCCAGCGAATTCTTCAGCGAGGTCCGCGACTATGTCATCCGCCTCGAATTCCAGGGCCGCAAGACGCAGCACATCCACATTGCGGCCTGGTTGATCCATCGGCAGGTTCTATCTGGCCGCAGTGGTACGGGGGACATCTCGCCATTCGTTCGCTTCCTGGAGGAGGTCTTCCGCGGGTCCGTGGACGTGCAGCACGGCGAGGGTTTCCTGAACTATATCAACGGCAACGTGGTCAAGGGCAATCAATCTATGGATTTTCAGCCCGATGCCGCGCGCAGCGGCGGGGATGACCACTCGGCGTGGCGCACAACCTATCGCATGTGCAAGCTGGCCCCTGGCCTTCCCGAGGTGTTTCTCGACTTCGCGGGCGCTGCGCACATCTATCGGACTTTTGCCGTGGTCAACGCGTGCGCTATCATACCGGGGAGGCGGGACCCGGGCGACAACGACACCAAGCGGCTGCATGAGCACTATGTCGCACGTCTGGTTGTCTCTGGGGAGCTCGACTTCCGTGGCAGCTTCCTGAGCTACATCCGCACCTATGCGTGGAAGGACGCCAAGACTGTGACCAAGCGCAGAGGGCGCGGGCAGGATTGCCTTGTCGCCGTCGGCGTCCGCTATGCCTTCGAGATGCAGGACAACTTCATCGGGCAGTTCTGCACCATGATGTTCCCGCACCGGGACTCTGCGACCTTTCTGCCGCCGTCGGAGACAGAGGTCATTGCCTTCACCGCGTACTGTTTGCGGGCGCTGCAGTACCTGCGTCACCTCGCGTGGACGACGGGCACTCCGCCGGGACGGGTGGACTCGCATCGACGGCGGTTGGCGCAGCAGCTGCATCGCGCGGTGGGGGAGAACGACGTGGCCTATGCGGCTCGCCTGCAGGAGGTTATGGACTCGTCCCGGTGGGTGGGCTTTGCTTCGAATGCTAAGGACATCCCGTCGTTGTCCGCTTTGCCTGCCGAGTCCATCACCAACGACCATGCGTCCTACACGTGGGAGCTCTTTCACTATTGGCCCAGCCATGTGATCGAGGGTGACGAGAACGCGCGCTTCCAGCGCCACCCGCTACGCTTCCCAGATGCCACCGTTGGCGCGTGCGGCAAGCCTTTCGAGGACGCGGACTCGGCGCTCAACTACCTCGCGAACGTTGTGCAGGTAGATCTTGCCATACGCGTTCCTCCCGGTCGCGCCAGGTCTTTCCGTGCTCGGCTCTTCGCCGTGCACTGCTTCTATAACTACATGGAGTATTGCAGGGAGAATCCTTTTGCGATACCACATGCCTTGCGCCAGCAGTGGGAAGAGTCCAACGTTGGGGTGTTCCACTTCTATGACAAATTCAGGGAAGAGTGGAATCGCGTCTTCGGGCACTGGCGTCCCGTGCTCACTTGGTCTGCCGACCAGCAGGAGGTGCTGCGCGTGGTGGGCGGTCTGCTGTCCAGGGCCGACGCCAACGTCGTCCACGAGCAATTCTACTACGTGCAGGGGGAGCCAGGCAGTGGCAAGACCGAGGTTCTATGCGAGGCGGCTCGCAGGGCTGCTGATGCGGGTCTGCGCGTGCTTGTTCTGGGGCCCACGGGCACCCTGGTGCATACCTATAAGACGAAGGTGCAGCACGAGAACATCAACGTGGAGACCATACACTCTGCCTGGCACATCTACCGCAGTGCGGACACGGTGGTGGACTACGCCCCTCCCACGCGGCTCCGCAGCTATGATCTCTTTATCATCGACGAGGCCTCGCAGATCGAGGATGCTGTTGCCGTGCCTGCATAACGGCTTCAAGGAGCTGCCGCAGCGGCCGACTGTCTTGTTCGCTGCAGATTTCCAGCAGCTGAATCCCCTGGGCAGCTCCGTGGCGATGCGCACCTTCATCACTATCATGACTACCATCACCCTGCACACTATACATCGGACCAACGATGACCGTCTTCTGGGCTTCTTGCGGCAGGTGCGCGTCAAGCAGCCCCCGAAGAGCGTCATCCGGGCCTTCTTCGCTGGCCGCACCTGGGACCGCATTACGCTGGAGAAGGCCGTCGCCAAGGGCAAGGCTATTGGCGATGACATGGGTGAGACCTTTACGTGGCTGACTGTCACCAACAAGGGCGCCGAGGCGGTCAACACGGCGTGCCTCTCGGCGAACAGCTTGAATAAGCCCGAGCACGCTTCTCGTTACTATGGCGACCCGAAGGTGTCGGGTTTCCCATATGCGGGCGTGGCGCATGGGTTCTGAGCTTCGCGCTGTTGTGCCGGCGCATCGCCGAGGTCGCCGGCGCATCGGCAATGCGACGCGAAGCTTGGACCCCCTCCGTACGATCGCAACTGGGATGCCTGCACAGGTTGCCTCTGGCAAGGACGTGCTATTCATCGCTCGTGGTGTCGTCGTGCGGCTCGCGAGGAACCTCGACAAGGAGCGGGGCTTCGTCAACGGTGCCATTGGCACTATCGAGACGGTGCTGAATGACGACAGGACGACCTTCACCGTGGTGCTGCTGGGCACTGGGCAGCGTCTACTCGTGCACCCTATCACCGACGGCGGTGACGACTTCTTGCCCTGCACTTATGGATATGCGACTACAATTCGCAGAGCGCAGGGGGCCACCCACATCGTCGGCGCGCTCTATTTCGACCACGCCTATCCACCTGAACGGGGCTACGGGTACGTGGGCACGAGCCGCTTCAAGTGCGCCGAGAACATCTATCACTTTGGCTGTATCCGTCGCACCGATTGGCTGCCTGTCAGCATGAAGCGCGATGATCCCGAGGAGCAGACTAGCCGGACGGCTCAGAGCGAGTTTGACGACGAGTACGGCCCTCGACTGCGGGAGATGGACACGGAGTCCGACTCTGAGGCCGGTTCTTCTGATGTCTATTCCGATTGCGGCGAGGTGGACGAGGAACAGCGCGCCGCCATGTTCGAGGAGCTGGCTGCGAGTCCGGGCTCGTCTGATCTGTCCGCGTTCATTTAAGACGTATACTGGCGGAACTTCCTTTTGCACGTGTGAAAGAAAATGTGTCGTTCAACCAGTTGTCGTGCTATCATCCATTTGTCCTTGACATCATGTTTTCTATTGTCCTGTTTTCCTCAGCAGTGTTTGCACTTGCGCTGTCGTCAGTGCGCACTATGCCTCCCGTGCTTTGCGGCTCCCTCTCGCCGCATGGCGGCCTGTTTGGGGAGCACATATGCATGTGTGTCTGGGACTCCTAGGCTGCTGTGCACTCTCACTGTGCGTGTTAACGAGCATCACATCATTTTACTGTTACTTACCCTAGGCCTATCCCGCCACTGTGCTATAGCATGGCATAGCATAGCATGGGTCCCCAAAAAAGTGGGGGCCCCTATGTGCGCGTCGTCCTTTATTATTATTGCCCTGGGCCCATCCCGCCATTGTGCTATAGCATGGCATAGCACAGCATGGGTCCCCCCAAAGTGGGGACCCCTATGTGCGCGTCGTCTTGTACTGTTACTTGCCCTATGCCTATCCCGCCACCATGCTAGAGCATGGCATAGCACAGCATGAATCCCCAACAAGTGGGGACCCCTGTGTGCGCGTTGCTTTTACTGTTACTTGCCCTGGGCCTATCCCGCCACTGTGCTATAGCATGGCATAGCACAGCATGGGTCCCCAAAAAATGGGGACCCCTATGTGCGCGTCGTCTTTTACTGTTACTTGCCCTAGGCCTATCCCGCCACTGTGCTATAGCATGGCATATCACCGCATGGGTCTCCGAAAAGTGGGGACCCGTATGTGTTGTGGGTTTACTGTTACTTACCCTAGGCCTGTCCCGCCACTGTGCTATAGCATGGCATAGCACAGCATGGGTCCTCAAAAAGTGGGTACCCCTGTGTGCGCGTTGTCCTTTACTGTTATTTACTTTATGCCTACCCCGCCACTGTGCTATAGCATGGCATAGCACAGCATGGGGCCCCCAAAAGTGGGGACTCCTAGGTTCGCGTCGTCTTTTACTGTTACTTGCCCTGGGCCTATCCCGCCACTGTGCTCTAGCATGGCATAGCACCGCATGGTCCCCCAAAAGTGGGGGCCCCCATGTGCGCGTTGTCTTGTACTGTTACTTGCCCTGGGCCTATCCCGCCACCGTGTTATAGCATGGCATAGCACAGCATGGGTCCCCAACAGGTGGGGAGCCCTACGTGCGCGTCGTTTTTTACTGTTACTTGCCCTAGGCCTATCCCGCCACCGTGTTATAGCATGGCATAGCACAGCATGGGTCCCCCAAAAGTGGGGACCCTCATGTGCGCGTCACTTTTACTCTTACTTGTCCGATGCCTATCCCGCCACTGTGCCATAGCATGGCATAGCACAGCATGTGTGCCCAACAGCGGGATGTTATGTACTATTGTATCAATTGCATGTGTTGCCTATGCAAGTTTTTCGGCCCGGGAGGTCTTGCAGCTTTGCCGAGATTCTCGGTCCATCGATTAGTCGTGCCATGCCTCTCTGGTCTGTCCCCTATGACCGTAATGCAATGGTGCGCATGTTCGACGAAGACCTATCTCCGTTTGTGAGGCAGTTCGAATACGAGTGGCCTACTGGCATCACGAAGGACACCGTGGTCCGCGCTATTCATCAGTGCACCACGCTGCACAATTTTACCCGTGGCCTGGATGAGGGGGACGCCGAGAGGAAGCGCATTTATGCGTGGCTATTTCCGGATGTTGCTGCTCCGGGAACTTTGACCACGCGCCTCTATTGGCCATGCATTTCACCACTGAACCTCTTGAACTTCATCCTGCTGTCCATGCGGAGCCGTTACGCGGCCATGGCCGCTTGGGCGATGATGCCTCTTCTATTTGATCACGAGCGGCCTCATGCGACTGGAGGCCATGTGTTGCAGGCGTGGATCGAGTACGTGGAGCGCCATGGCCCTCTTCAATGGCCCCAGCTGATCAATGTATGAGCCAGGAGGTGCCTCGGCGTTGCATGTCTGTCGACCTCACTATATCATGGATTGTATTCCACCGGCAGCTGGGCCATCCGGAATCTATCCTCTTTTGGTGCTACTACCGGGAGTACTGCGGTGTGGGACCTCCGGAGCAGGCTCCCTATGCCATTGAATGATGTACGTTCGCCTCACGGCGGTCATCCGCTATCTGATCGGCCATGTTGACTTTTTGTAATCTTGTGGCTTGACTATCCTTGGTCGTAAGTGCCAGGGTCGTTCTTTGGTAAGGACAGTCTCGCTCCCTATTATCGCGGCGTCGTCTGCGAAAAGATTGTGCGATGCTGTGCTGCAGCGTGTGCACTTCTATCGTTGTCTTTGTGATTTGGCATGTCGGGGTATCTTTCCTGGCAAGGTCACACTTCCCTACGATGCGCACTGGTGTCTATGCTGCTTGTTATTGTAGTTTGGAGCTTCTTCTGCCGTTGGAATCCTGCTATCCCGCAGGCACTCTTGTTCCCACATCGTCTGGCTCCTATTTGGCTGAAGTTTGTTCCGTAACAGTGTTTGCACTTTCGTGTGTGTCCGTGCGGCCTATTCTCATTCTCTTCGCCGCACTGCGGTTTGTTTGGGATCCACGCCTATGTATGCACACGAGTACCGATGGTGAAAGCGACGACGACGAGGACAACGACGACCAGTGACGACGGGTGTCGACGAGGGACCACGAGTGACGACAAGCGACGACGAGGCACGACGAGTGGTGACGAGGGACGACGAGCGCCGACGAGTGCGACGTCATGCTCTATGCTCCATGCTGTGTGTTCTGTGTCGTGTCTATTCGTGATGGCAGGGCGGAGCGGTCACAATTGCTATTGAAGCCGCCTGCGGAGAGGCGAACCACGAGCACACATGCGTATAGGAAATGATACGCTTTGCTATGCTTTGTTACGGTATGCTATGCTACATCATGGTCCCATTATTGGGAGGGTCGGGCCTTTGCTCTGCTATGCTCTGGCAGTTCATCCATCCCCCCCCAAAAAAACAGGGTGGGGGCGCGTCATCTATATGTGCTTTGCTTCTGTAGTCTGTTCGTGATGGCAGGACGGAGTGGTCACCTTTGCTATTGAAGATGCCTACGGCGAAGCGCCGATCCAAGAGCACACATACGCATAGGCCGTTATACGCTATGCTATGGCATGTTGCGGTATGCTACGCTACACCATGAGGTCCCCACTTTTGGGGGACCCATGCCGTGCCATGCTTTGCCATTGCAGCTCAACACCATGAGGTCCCCACTTTTTGGGGACCCATTTCGTGCTCTGCTATGCTATTGCAGCTCAGCTGCATTCATTCCCGAAAGAAAATGGGGATACGCGTCATCGCCATTGTTTCTTTGCTAGTGTAGTCTATTCGTCGTGGCAGGACGGAGTGGTCACAGTTGCCATTGAAGATGCCTACGGCGATGCGCCGACCCAATGGCACGCATACGTATAGGCACGATACGCTAGGCTATGGTTTGTTACGGTATGCTATGCCACACCATGAGGTCCCCACTTTGTGTTTTTTTTTTTTTGGGGGGGGGGGGGCATGCCGAGCTATGCTATTCTATTGCAGCTCATCAGCATCCATCCCTCCCAAAAAGAAAGAGAGCACGCTCTCTAGTTGCTTTGCTATTGTAGTCTGTTCGTGATGGCAGGACGGAGTGGTGACCTTTGCTATTGAAGATGCCTACGGCGAAACGCCGACTTAAGAGCACACATACGTATAGGCCATGATACGCTATGCCATGGTTTGTTACAGCATGCCATACTACACCATCAGGTCCTCACTTTTTGGGGACCCATGCCGTGTCATGCTTAGCTGTTGCATCT